TGCAAAATTTGTATGAGGACCTTGCTGTGTCTCTGTAGAGTACAACCTGTTCTCACTTCTGCTGATCTACCACTCCTGTCAATGTGGATCTGACCACTCATAGATTTATATTCACAACCCAAAGACAAAGCAGACTTTGACAAAAAGAATAGAACACAGCCATAAACATAACCTGTGTGTCATCATCTACTGTGATTTCTAGATTGTAATGTGTTTCACTGATAATCCATTTTCCTATTCTGACTACGAGCCATTGCAAGCAGTACCTTACCACATAAGCAGTACCCCAGAATAGTTACCAGGGGCCTATGTGCTGGGGGCAGTAAGCAAAGAGGGAACAAATAGAGTCTTGCTACAGCACTAGTGAACATAAATTGCTTCTGTATGATTAAATAGCAAAGGTTTGTATGTAATTCCTGCCGGGTGATTGCCCTGAAGATGTTATGTACAGAGACATTCTTGGGTTCCAACACTGGCAAAGTCTGAGTTTTTCTTAAGGCTGCTCTGCTTTCTAGAGGCAGGCACAGATTTTTTGGGAACATCTAATACAAGCTGTTTTCCAGGAGTATGGTCTCTGTGTGAAGACAGCTATTTAGTGGGAAAATCATCCCTGGACCTCAGTGGAAAAAAAAAGGCAGCCAAATATCTGACAAAATTGAGTTGATTCAGTAAAACAAAAAAGCCCCAAAACAATAAAAAAACCCTTCATGTCTTTTTCACACTAAAGGGATACTGGATGCTTCTGACACCAACTTTCTGAGAATAAAAAAAACCAACCAAACACCCAAATGGTGTAATGACAGTTTCAAGCTGAAAGCTTTCTCCAATAAGTGGACAGAATGATGAAATTTTGCTTTTAATTTAAGGAAGTATGGGATATTTGACTGGAAAAAATATAACAGCCTGCATGAACTTGACAACAGAGTACATAAAGTTAATAAAAGTGATTGCTGCATTTAATAGCTACTGATGGATGGGGTTTATTTCTATTAATTCCCTACCCTTTTTCAAATCCCATAATACCTCTTTCCTTCCTAACTTTCTGTGGCAGTAGTTTCTACAAGTTAATAATAAACCTTGTAATAAAAGTTGAAAAGTTTTTGTTGAAAAGTTGGTTTAGACCTATGGTTTAATAATGCAATGATCTATGTCTGTATTGTCATGCTTACACAAACAAGGACTATTTCCTTTTTCACATATTCAGAACAATTTTGCAAGTTGCAACATGTAAACACACACAACATTTTCCTGAAGCATTCAGCTCAGAACACTAACTCCTGAAGAGCCTAAGAATATTGCCAGACATAACCTTTTTTTAAAAGAATTACTCTTCCTAGAGGCTCACTAATCATTCTTAACTCCGGTACAGTATTAAGAAGCAAACAAATAGATGAAAAGAACATAACAGGCACCCAAGCTCTTGCAGACCTGTGGAACTGTGACAGACAGGAGGAAAACAAATTAGTTCAGCAAGGTACTGAATAGACTTAATTTCAGATTTTACTAGCTTAACACCAATTTTGATTTCCTTCGCATTAACCATCATTTATTTTTGTTGCTGAAAACATACCATAACTCATCTGTGAAAGATTACTATAGATTTTTGAATTACCAGTAATGCATTTAAGATAAATAAGTTTAATTTCAAGTTATTCCAAGTGTTTTATAATACCAACATTCATTTTTAACAAATTAGATTATATTGACTTTTAAAATAAGGCCTCCTTTGGAAGACTTATCATTTAAACAATTTTCAGGAACCAATTTTCTACTTAAAGTTAATTCTCCTGTGAGTCCATGGAAAACAAAACAAATTCTGATCTATGGGAGCTACACTTTGCAATATTGTCTGTATACAAGCTGACCTATAGACTCATTCGCAAGAACTAACTGGGGATTTTTTTTGTCCATTCTTTGAATTCTTTTGAAGAGGAAGAAGCTGTACCAGCTTATCTAAATTAAATTCTCTTTTACAGGTTTTTGGCATGTACCGTATGCTTCCAGTGATTTACAAGACACTACCAAACTCACTTCACCTGCACTAGCAACTAGATTGGAAACAAGAATAGAAAACTGTAATGACAGTGTTTTTATTTCAGTCCATTTGTAGCATTTTGAAATGCCTCAAATTATATTTCAAAAGGTAAATTATTATGTAGTATAATGTCTGATTACCTGAAAAATAGAAAATAAAAGGTGAAAATGGACCTATTATAGATTTTTCACCTACGCAGCTTTTCAAAAACTCTAAGTCAGTCATTGTTACTTTTAAAATGTCACAATTTTAATTTCATTACTTTTAGAATTAGGATTTGAAAAACAGGATTTTTCTGCCGTGGAGTCAACTCCTGAAGTCAAGTCAAAATATAAGAGACCTTTCCTATGGCACTAATGGCTCTGCATGTTTGATCTTTCATCACTTTCAGTTATTAAGAAACAGTAAAATGCTAATTAACTTACTTTAATTGATAACATGAGAAAACACAGCTTTCTAGTATTATCCCTAATCATGCTCCAAATGGATCAAATAAAGATAATTCATTCAGCTATGAAAGCACAACTACAGAATCACAGAACATATTGCCTATCACTCTTCTTATCTCAAACCATGGCAATACTACTTGTCTGATTTAATTGCAGCTGGAAAGGAAATACCACACAGCCACTTGTTCACTCCAGCCTTGCTGCCAGGGGCAGGGAGGGGAATTGGAAAGAAAAGGTAAACTTCATGGGCTGAGAAAGAGCAGCTTAATAATGGAGAGGAAATAAAATATAATGCTAATAACGATAACAGAAATTAATACAGTAATATTCACTCTACCATCTTCATTATTGTTATTGTTGTTACTACTGAAAAGAGAAAGAGAGGAATAAAACTCCAGAATGGCAAGTGATGCACAATAAAATTGCTCACCACCCATCCCCAAGCAGTGATCAGTGCCCTCCAGCTAATTCCCTGCAGTTTACACACTGAGTATGACATTCTGTGGCATGGAATATCCCTTTGGCCAGTTGGGTCAGCTGTCCTGGCCATGCTCCTTCCTGGATTGTTGTGCTCCTTCTCACTGGCAAAGCATGGGAAAGTCCTTGACATAGGGTAAGCGCTACTCAGCAAAAACTGAAGCATCACTTTGTTATCAACATAATTCTCATTCTAAAGCAAAAAAAACACAGCACTGTACCAGCTACAGGAAGGAAATTAACTCTATCCCAGCCAAGACCAAGACACACAGAAAAAAGCTCTGGGATGACTGTCGCATCTTCAAATAAAAAAAAAAATGCACATCTGAATTTCTGAGATTTCTATCAGTATTTCTATCAATAAAGTAATCTGGCCAAGTTTACCACAGACAACTGAGGATCATTGTACAGTCTTCTGTGTCCATGAGTGATTCACTAACCTGCAGGCTCATCAGTATTCTGAATGCACTTGAGCCACACACCTTTGTCCATTTGGCCAGGAACACCCACTAATGTTAATGAAAAGTTCCAAGTCTTAAAGAGTTTGAATGTATAGCAGAGTTAATTTCCTAAAGCTAGAATTTAGGATATTAAATTTCCTTTTTTTATCAAAATCTACACTCTGTTTCAAAAATTAAGGCAAATGTGTTAATAACATAGAACAATGTAAAGTAACCCTTGAAGTTACCTTTTATTGCAATCTCTTTCTGATATTGCCACAGAAATGAATGAGGAATACTGAAACATGAATAACATTCTTATCACTTATATGACCTACAGCACTAATACCAGCAATATAAGTACCTTCTTAAGGACACGGGTCAATAAAAGACAGTACACACACTACTCCTCTCTCTTTAGCACTTGAAAGTGATGGCTGGTTTTAGCTGTAGATGTCTACAGTTTTTGGACATCAAATTTTCTCCTTTGTTCTAGATATTTTGCTTCAACAGAGATGCAACAATTTATTTTGGTTTCTCAAACTGACATAATTCAGATTTTTTCAATAAAACAGGAACTATATTGACTGCAAGAGAAAAAAAAAAGACATATTTCACAGTGCCCATGCTATTAACTAGGGTGCACTGAGATCAAATTCAAACCCTTGATTTGAATTGCAGCTGTCAAATACTTCTCAAGCAGTCACTACACCAGAGCAAGAATCATTATCTAAATGAATTGAGTCACAGTCTGCCATATTGTCTGAGATCTCCCAGGGTCATTCACATCTTAGAATGGGAAACCAGGGATTTACCCTCCCACCTGTATGCCTATTCCACTCTGTACCTGGGAAAAAGAAACCTTTTCAAGCAAGCATTTTCTTCAAAGTAATACTGTTCCCACAAAAACTTTTTATTTACACCTAGTGGTAATTTATTTCCACCCAGACCCAGTAGGAAGCTCTATCTGTCAGAGTAAACCAAGTCTTGAAGTACTCTAGAGTCTACTCTTGCTACAATGGGTTTTTATCCTGATAGAATAATTTACTCAAAATCAGTTGCCCCATATTCCCTAAAGATGCCTACAAACTACAATGAAGACAGTAATCTATGAGGGCTCTTTTTTCTATAAAATAAAATAAAATAAAATAAAATAAAATAAAATAAAATAAAATAAAATAAAATAAAATAAAATATCAAAGATGAGATCCTGAAACAAACAAACAAATAAACAAAAGCCTAAAAAACAACCTACTTGCCCACCCCAGTGCAAAACAGCAGCTGGAGTTTCTAAATGAAAAATCATAGCCCTATAAACTCATTGAAAACTGCTGTACAATTACCTGCCTTGATTTGTGGCAGAGATATTCTCAGAAAAAAGCATTATTTGTATCCATGTACATTTCACAAGAGAGTGAGTAGTTTTGTGTAACATTTCTCCTCTCATTAAAAAACAGACAGGTACAATGCTGACATCCTTGTTTATAACAGACAGAAAATGCTAGAAATTACTCGTTGTCTAGGACACTGATTTAAAATACATTAAAAAAGCTGCACCATTCTTATAAAGACTCTAAGACTAGGGCTTAAAATACTTACTTAATAATGTCTCCTTCTAGAGCAATCACTCGTTTAATGATCTTCTGTTCAGGATTTCTAGGAGACCTGAGACAGGAGATAAGGTTACACAATCAGTACCATTCCCATTCTTTTAAGAAGATGAAAGAAATAGACACTATGGAAGTCATTAGAAGATTCCATATTCTCCTTGAGTTAGCATCATCAAAATGCTTCCATGGGGAAGTGAAGCTACTGCAATCCTTGTCACTGCAAACCAGTTGATGACCTCCTTACAAACAGCACAATAATCAACACACCTTTGATCATGAAAAATACACTCCACAACACTAAAAGTAAAGCATCCCATGAACCAATGAGGAAGGTACCTTTGCACATAGATTAATGTATTAAAACCTGAATCCCCCACCATTTGTTGGGAAAATGTGTTAAACATTTATGCCTTTCAATCAATTTTGGAGAAAAAAATCTTCCTATGTTATATTAATATCTATCACTAATTTAGGTAAGCCTTGCCTAGGAAATTGTGGAAGTTTAAAAATAAAAGTTGAAAAATTCTCTGAAAGTTGCAGCTTCTGAATGCATTGTTTTTCACTTAAAGTTATTTTCCCATAGCATCTTTAATTGAGTAGATTCTGATCATACATTACATAATAATATGAGAAAGCAAAGATGTACTTGCATGTACAGCCTGAATATCCCAACTTCCTGGATGCATATTATTAGATAGACTATTAAAAGTGTTATTCTACTGTAGTTTTGACAGGTTAATGTAGATATATATTCACAATAAATTTTCATTTTCTTTATACTTTACATTTTTTCTTATTTTTCACTTTAAATTATCTAACTATGCAAACTTAGAAGAATATCTTCATGTTATTAAAAAACAATTCTTTTTATTTGCTGCTTACGTACACAGAAAAGTCAGGGAAGGAACAAACTTTTTATTTTCTGTTGATGCTTGGGTTCTCCCTATTAAGGTTTCAAGTACAATCTGCTAGACATACCACTTACAGAGGTGTATATTACAGTTTTCATGGCTAAAACCATCTTTGAGCTCATCTCTGGTCAAATGGTAAGATTACACTTCTTTAAAAAGCAAAGCTGAGCTATGTCTGGATGAAAAGCTTGCCCACACTGCTGCATGACTAAAGGCATTTGAGGTTCACTTCCAGTTCCAATAGCTAAAACAAAAAATGGGTTCAGATTTATTAGTTCAATTTTTTTTAATATTATTCTAAAAAAAAATCCAAATACTTTAAATTTAGTTTGAGGCTTTAATATTTTTTCTTGTGTGTGCATGTCAATACATTTGAAATAAATTTCTCTTTCAAAGTAATGAAATAAAATTCAAGATGCCTAATTTTGAATTTCAAAATGTCAAATAGCTTCCCTTTACATTTTACCAAGCCTGGAAACTTATTTTCAACAAGCAATGAGAAACACTGAACATGAATAAAGGCCATATATTTATTCCCTAGACATCACTCAAATTTTCAAATCATTATGTAATTTACAGTAATATTTTATTTAGCATCAATTTTACATGAATAGTTGCATATTTCAGCTCAGCCTTGCATTTCATGTTCCTTCTTAAGGCAGGAGCACACAGTTTCATCATATTTTATATGTCAGTCTTGGGAGGAATTAATCAAGTTTTAGATGTTTGTATGATTTAAATATATGGAATATCCACAGCACTTTCTGATGCTGCTCCTTGCAAGCAACATTTACTTCGTTGAGCACTCATTTGAGCATTGACCATGTCCTATTCTCAACCAAAGCACAGTCAATGAAAAGACAACACACCTTTAAGCTCTTATAAACTTAAAATATTTTTTTAATTACTTTACTGCTAACTGATTTAAACTTCAATCTATTTAAGCTCAAGCTGTAATATTTCCCATGTAAAATTTAAGTAATGGAAATGATAATACATAATGTATGTGATGAAATGTGCATTTCTTAAAGATTGAATGAAAACAGATTTTATGTTTTCTCTTTCAAAATTCTGTTCTGACACCTCACTTTCAAAAAAAGGTTCTCAGCAACTTCCCAGAAGGTATCTCCACATGATTAGAATATATATATTGTAATACAATTATTGATCTCCCTTAATTTTCTATCCTCGTGCAAAAATTTCTACTGACCTTGGAAAAACATCTCTCCAAATCTGAGGTATGGGTAATTATTCTAAGAGTAGTTACTTGGTTACATGGCTAGCAATGACATATTTAAATCAAATATAATTCATCAGAAAAACTTCAAGGAATTTCTTGCAGATATTATTATGAAAGAGCAATATTTTTAATACTAGAACCAAAATATTTTTTAAATAAATTTCATACTAACATTCTGATTATAATTAATTAAAATGGCAAAGGACTGGTAAAAGACAGATGAGCAGGCTCAAAGTGGCCAATAATACAGGCACTTTTAGACCAAGGATTTTCAGGAGCTGAGCAGAATGGTTTTTTTCCAAGAGCCAGTGTGCAGCCAGGAGGTAAGAGAGACTGGTTCTGAAGTGATGGATGTCGATGCCTTCCTGAATGGTGTAAAGCATAACCCTGGGATTTCACTGATTATTGAAATCACAAAAACATACAGGCCGTTTCTGTCTTCTACGTTCAATCCTGCAGAGAACAGTACGGGATCACACTGCCACAAAGCACATTTCCCAGGAAAAACAGGAAATTATATAGCCAGCAGAAAAATCCACTTTTTAGCAAGTGATTGTCAGATAGAAATTGTGACAATTCCCTGAAAGATTTCTCTTTACATATTTAGCAACTGAGTATTTCAGTCAATATTACTCCTAAAACTCTCCCTTTCAACCAGTTGGATTATTTATTTATTCTAGTGGATACTGCCCAATTTTAAATAATTGCTCCATGAGCTAATTAACATTTGATCAAACAAAAAATTCTCATAACATTTCTTGGTGTTGTATGTGTCATTTGAGTCTTCTTTGGTTCTTTGAATTTTCTACGTACATTCTTCTCAAGAACCTCCACAGCAAATCATCCTAGACTTCCATGTCTACTGGCTTTTCTAGAGAGAAAGTTTTTAGAAAATGTCCTAATATCCTAGCAAAATAACAGAAGCACTGTCGAAATAAATAAATACTACAACACACAATAATACTTTTTTCCATTAATAAACACTCAGAGGTTTTTTTGGTACCTGCATTAGAAAGAGACCTGATTCTGTGAAATCAATGAAAAAGCAGACAATATATTTCAAAGGGATAGCTTCAATTGATACTTTAATGATCTACATGTGTTTAATGTTACACATCCATTATCACAGACAACTTGGAAAAATTCTGTGCTCACTCTTTGAAAATTGTTGGAATTTTTATACCAATTTAGGATCTTCTAGAACAGAACTAATAGCAGGCATTTATTAAAAAGTTGCAGAGAAAAGTGCCTAAAGTTTTCAATTTTTATATGAATATATCTATATTCATATAAAGAATAAGTATGTATATGGATAAGTATGTATATTACTGTTAGAAAATTCTTTAACTTTTTATGAGATAGAAGCAAGACGTTTAGGCAGCAGCCTCAAAGTTTGTCTTCATATTATTCCCAGTTTACTTCAGATTGAGTTTCATGTGACTTGATCATCATTTACATGGTGGCAATGGAAGAAATTAGGACTGTGTTGTTGTAGTATAAACAGACTGAAATAATGAAGACCATCTTCTTCAAAATTAAAATTTCTGCTTCTATTTATGCTTTTAATGCCAGATACATAAATGGATTTAACTCCATAAAACAGGATAAGAGAGAATTTTTGAGATCTCAGCCTAACATTGTGATCCAAAGCCATTCACTCAGTGAGTTCTTCATTTCTCAAAACTAATTCCTCTCTCATCAAAAATTCTAGCATAGCTGGAGTCTACACTTCTGGGAATTTCCAGCATTAATGCCGGAGGGAAAATATGCTGTTTGTCTCTTTCTCAACCCATTTGAGGATCCAATAAATAGCTAGAGGAGTAACTAAAATGTAGATGGAGTCCAGAATAAGCGGCATTAATATATCTAAAGAACTGAGAACCTCACAGTATGGTTTTGCTGGCTCTACCTAAAAAATATGCTTGAAGGAAGAGGAAAGAGAAGCAGTGAGCTAACTCATTTTTATTTTCTGTTGTTTATCCTTGCTTCCTGTTGCCAGTATAGTAGCTGATGCTCAAACTCTCTACAGAAGTAAATATGTAGCAATATCCACTCTTTCATTCCTTCTAGCCCCATAGCTTTGATAGCACAGATCCAGTATAGACAATTCTAAATACTGTATAAGAATGTAAATTTACTTAATATATGCACATATTTTCTAAACCAAAATATTTTTAATCTGCTTAACTTTTTTCTCAGTCCCTAACTTTCATCTAAATTCCATGCTTCTTTATGCAGATACAGAATCTCATAATAAATGTAATATCTAATTACATCATAGGTTATGACACAATTTCTATATTGTGGCAACTAGCATGCAATTTAACAGTGAAGAAAACCTCCAAGGTTATGACACAATTTCTATATAGTGGCAGATAACATGCAATTTAACAGTGAAGGAAAAAAAAAATTATACATTTTATTCTTGCTTTTTTTTTTCATTCTTATTATCAATTCCTCTTGTACAGAATTACTGCAATAAATGTATCCAGTACCTGGTTTAGTATCTGTGTTCAGTTTGTACCCACCAGTACAAGAAAGGCATTCACAACTGGAAAAAGTGGCACCAAAATAATAATAACAGAAGAGCAATGTAACAGCAGTGGCTAAGGAAATGGGGTTTGTGTGGATTAGAGATTAGGCAAAGGGTTCAATTGCTATTGTCATCCATCTAAGTGTTGATTAGGAATTCAGAAATTTTGGAAAGGTATGCAGCAAAAGCGATTAGCAAACAACATGAGCAGCAGCAAGGGAAATTCCAGTCGTGCAGTTTGACCTGAGAGACTGAGAGCCACAGACATACTTAGAGCTCAATGGGACACAGGTCTGGGCAGTCTGACCCAAATTCAGTCTAACCTGCCTTGAGTGGGTGGTAAGATTAGATAAGACATAAATTACTTTTCA